ATAAAATTTGAGGCTAAAATGATGACCTTTTTGCCAGCGAATCCATTAGATTGATCAACATAGTGATTCTTGGATGTGAGTTGTAAAAATAACATTTCAGTAGATCATTCATTCTCAACGGACGCCATTTGATACTGGAACTTGAACGCTACTAATGTTGTGAAATAGGTAAGCTTAAAGGACCCTAGTCAGCCTCCACCATTTTTGATACCATCAAAATTATTGATATGGTATGATGAAGAATAATCTTATTGCTTTGCTGTAAGTTGCATTCCTGAAATTATGTTTAATTATCTTTAATAGTTTCACAGTGATCCCCTTCATTTTCACAAGCTCCATATAAAATACATTTATAACAATCAAATTCTTGCATGTAAATAAAAACAAAGGTGTGGCTGACTAAGGCCCTTTAAGGTGGCTCAAAACAGTTTCTAGCACTTAGACTTTAATGGGTCGTTATAACTACTCTTGATGCTATTATCATATTATCAAAAAACTGCCCAATCATTGGTGAACACGTTGTTATCATTTTTGTGGCACAATAAGTTACCATAGCAACAGTGTGACCAGCTAAAAACACCCTTACTCATTGTATAACAAGATCAAATTTAATTACAACATTGTCACGCAATAGCATGGTCATAATCTATTGCCAGCAATGATCATAGTTTTTTCGGTTCTGATATTCCACAAAACCATTTCAAATTAACATTGATTTCAAAACCCACTTAAATGAGAAGACATTGTTGAAGGTAAACAGCATTACCTAGCTTGACACTTTAAACAACCAGGATGCATTAGTTCTCAAAATTTGGATAAAAATTCACGGGAACAAATAACATAATTCAATGAATTTCACTCTAATTACTTTTGCACAGTACTGTAGCATTAAGAGCAATTTTCAAAACATTCTCTTACATTGGCTTATAAATGGCTAAAATCTTAATGCGATCGCCAACAGCATGTCACGTTGTTGATCTATATGTGATCAAGAGGAGATGAATAAAATGAAAACAGAAGTGAGGATGATCATCCTCTCTTGGAGAACATCAAATCCACAAATCCAAACCCACATGCTCCCTCCTGGTTGACAATAAAGTTTCAAATGGCCCACCTCCAGAATGAAGATGTAAGCAGATGCCCAGCTATTGCCTTGAAGGGCTGGGATGGCCAGTGCTGGAATTAACTGATGCACTATGTCCCCTGGAGAAAGTTCACTCCAGGATGGTGGAACTGATGGGACTGTTTTTGACCACCGCTTGGTGGGTTACCCCACCTACCGAATCAAGTACTATGGCCTTATGTCCATGCAATGACATGTTCAATTGTCACACATTCTTATTCAAAAAATGTCACTTTGGTACTTTGGTAAACAACTACTACATCACTCACACTCAAAACATAGAACTCAAAAACAAAATTATGTACATAATCAAGAGCCGATAATCAGGAGCTCCTGACATAATTTCATTCACCTTTTGTAATCACAGGTTTTGCTCACAGAGCACTTTGATCTAGATCCGTTGTCTAAGGGACCACTAGAGGAACAACATCAATTCTTGCCAATATCATACCTTTTGCCAGTTAATGATTTTTATATTTCTTTGAAATAAAAAGGTTTGGAACAACAGAAACATGATGTGTTAATTGAAGCAATATTTTGGTCACCAAGTTTCATCCTAACCAGCCATGTTTTCCTCAGAATTTGGTCTGAGAGAAAAGCATGAAAAATGAAATCCTTGCGATTATCAGAACAATGGCTGCATAGCGCAGAAGCACAGCACTTATAACTAGTTGAATGGGGTTTTTTAGGTCCACCATGTCTCGCTACAAGTTTTGAATCACACCACATCCTTGGCCCCTACGCTTTCATGAGCCAGTGCTCATAACTAAGGACCAAACAACGGCTCAAGTCGAAAAATCAATTTTGCTCATTTTTTGTTCACAGATTGGCCCTAGCTAGTAAACAAACAGACCAGAGTTAGTTTTTGCTAACGCAGCTTTTTTTGGGAGAAATTTGCGAAAAACGATTCCACCCCGATTGAGATCAAAATCTACTTCCTGTTATGCTAAATTTTCTGAAAATTTGATTGCTTTGCACGTCGCACAAAAAAATCTCTGGGCAAATGGTTTTAAGTCACCCGCCTTGGCCTATGCTTCTCATAAATTTTTCCCTGAACTGCCGTGGGAATGTTAACAATTAAGTGACGCGGGCGGTCACCCTGCATAATTTGTTTCCAACAAACCACAGATGGCTATCTTAGAACATTTGGGTGAAAAAAGAGGAAAACATAATGGACCACTTTTAACTTTAATGTTTTGAAAGGCATCGCTTTGGAAATTTCGTTAATTAAAAACGCCAACTAAAAGCAATTTACTTGGAGTTCAGGTGTTACTGCCATGTCCTTTTAAGCTGTTGTTCTTTCTTTGACCATTTTAATTACAAGAACGAGTTCTGGAAAGAGAATCGTTCCAAGTTCATTTGTTAAGCATAATGACAAGTTGATATTGTTGGTTTGTAGCCTTATGTGATCTGAAGGAACGCAGCAGTGATTAAATTTGTATTTGTTGATTTTGACGGATCGATTTTTGGTTAAACCTTTTTATTTGTACCAGTACATTTAGCGCCTTTTCTCCTTCTAAAAAGTCAGAAAAAGTAAACTGAACAAATCCTAAAAGTTTAAATCATAAATAAGAGAGTCAAGAATTGTTCACCTCCTAGAACAGTATTCTCGCACTAAAGAGACGATAAGATAGATATTCACTGCTTATTCCAATAATAACGATTTTTCAGCAATCACATTCGGTTCCAACACAACTGTCTAACCTATTTCTATTGTCCCTTTTTCCTTTTTTTCCCACATCTGATCTAGTCTTCAGAATAGCTTCATTTTCTTGGAACATTGCTAAGGGGAGGGGGGTCAATTATACTGGCTTCTGTTCATGTTTTGTTCTAAAACGTCAAGGACAAAGTTGAACTCGTGGGTTTTAGTGCGTGAAAAGGGGAGGTGTCCTAACAACTTATGGCCAGGATTGTAGGTTTACACTAGAGGAAATTGTTCGGGATTCATAATGAATCCGAAACATTTTAGTGCCGGATTGATTTTGCCATTTACACAAAAATGGATGAATCCGAAATAAAAACTCCCAGGTTTGGTCGTGTCTCCAGGGATTTTGAATCGGGAATTTAAAGTGGGAACTTTGAATCCGAAAACTTTTGAATCCGGAGAGTTTTGTCCTGTAAACAATTTTCTCTCGAATCCGGATATTTTTCCGCCTGTGATCTTTTGAGTTTGCGGTGGAACAAAAATGGTGGATTACATGATCCAGTTGTAGTCGAGTCGTAGGCACATTGATGGCCATTTGATGGCAGTCACTGGCTGATTACCTCGGGCTGTTTCAGGTGTAGGTAATCACTTTTACAATGGGTAATGCTATATTGCTCAGAAACCCAATTTATCGACGCAAACAATATTGACGTCCTCAATATTGCGCAGATGACGACGATGGCATGATCGAAAACCTTGACGGTTCTAGATGTTAAGTAAAGACCAGAATAAATGCCTGGACCTGACATGATGGACAACAGTACCATGGTCAGCAAGTTGAAAGAAAACTTCAGACTGTCTCAACCTAACCCTAGCCTTATTTTTGGAGGCATTTTGTTTCTCGTTGTTCAGGTAACAAACTGCTTGTTAACCATTCCATCATGAATGTTCCTGGAGTTATCGTCGTGTGTAAACGGTTAAGAATCCGAATATCCTTTCACTGTAAACCCCTACTAATCCAAATACTCTAAAATTGATGAATCTGGAAACTTTTACGAATCTGGAAGAACTCCTTTAGTGTAAACCTAGTCCTAGATTTACCACTGTAATGTTTATTTGTCTACCAGTGTTATGATCTGCAAATTTCATTTCATTGATCAAACAACCAAAGTAGAAAAGATGGATTTTTCCCAGTATGATTGAAACTTAAACGCAATTTCTTCCTCGGCTAATTCAATTCAAGAAATTCCAGATTTTCTAGCTGAGTTTGAGCATATTGTGTAGGTACAAATTTTCAAACATCGGGGAGCCCTGGGGATGAGTTTAGTCAAACAAGACAGTGTTAACTATCAGAGGCATTTTTGGTCGTTTTGGAATATTTTGGTTCGCTGTGGGTCATTTTGGATCATTTTGGGTTCGTTGTGGATGGTTGTGGGTCGTTGTGGATGGTTGTGGGTCGTTTTGGGTCATTTTGGGTCGTTTTGGGTGGTTCCTCGTTTTAGTACTTACACATCTAAGAAGCAGTTTCGTCAGTTTGACAGAGGAGTGTTTCAGTGAACATCAAAACAGCATGGTACAAAACATCTTGTTGCCATAAATTAATTGTGACGCGATGTGCTCGTGGTCAACGGCCGTGGATACTCCATGAAAGGTTTTTGCAGGAGTGAACACTTCATTGTGTCAATCTCAGTACGTTTTTTTAAAACAGAAAAGTTTTTAAGCCCATGCTAACTGGGAAACAATTAACAATGAAAATTAATCAAAGAACACGTTGCAGGTATAATCTAATACTCAAGATGCTCTATCACACTATGTTACATGCAATGTTTCGTCAAGGGGTTTCAAACTTTCATAGGATAGGAAACCCGTTTGGATTGCCTTAAAAACAATAAAAAACCCTTTGGTAACTCTTTTGAAACCCGTTGCTAATGCTTTCAAAATCCCTTTGGAAAGCCTTTAAAAACCCAGTTTCAAGAGGTTTCAAGGAGTTTCAAACCCTTTGGAAACGCTTTGGAAACTCATTAGAAACCCCTTGGAAACCCTTTGGAAACCCTTTGAAACTCTTTAGAAACCCTTTGAAAACTCTTTAGAAACACTTTGGAAACCCGGTTTTTTGAGTTTGAAACCCTTTGGAAACCCTTTTGAAACCCGGTTTCACCCAAATTGCCATGTTTCATAAGACGTGTTTTCGCATGGAGGGTCACATATACTAGTGGCAATATGATATTTTACCTCAATTCTCAAAGGAATGCCTCTTTCCACATTCACAATGATGTCATGAAGCAGCACTGGAACAATTGAAACCAATTTATCCTTGCCTTTCATAGGAAATAAACATAATATACAATAAATATATGCTGAAAATATATATCACTATGGTCACATCTGCATTTCTAGGATACAGTCGACTATGTACAGCTTTTGTTTTGGCCATTAAATTAAAATTAAATTTAAATAATATAATTTCTAGTTTTCTTATCAGTTTTACACATCAGGTTGAGTTCTTTTTCTGATTGTTAAGCGATAACATAATGACATCATCGCTTACTGTCATCCCATTGTGTGGGAGGATGTCTAGTGCACCTGATCTTATAACTCACACAGCCAAATCATTGGTGGAATAGTTTGGTGCGTGTCATTTAATTTAGTTGCATCTGCTAATTTTTGCCTCTTGCTTCCATTAGCGTATTTGCTTATTGCTTGGCAGCCTGGTTTTTTGGGTTCTTGTTTTTTGTTTTGTGCCTGCTTTCTTTGTCAACAGGGAGCGTTAATTGCTGGGCTGTTGCCCATTGCTCTCCCGCTGGTTAGCATTTGCCTTGCTTGAAGGGGGTGCCATGGTTACCCCCTTTATTTGCATTTTGCCCACACTTGCTCATTGCCTGCTTTGCTGTCAATTGGCACCTACCCTCCGTTTTGAATATTGCTTATTGACAAGTTAAACATAAAGGTACAATTTGGAATATTTATGGCAGTAGCTTTGGTTCCTGGTTACAAAACTGTGGAAGAACACGTTCAAAGGATATACTTTGAGAAAAATTATGTTAACTTTTCCACCTCTTTAAGGAGTTTCATGTAGAGATCAAGAGCAGAGCTAACATCCTGTGGCTATGGAAGGTTATGTCCATTCATAGCAGTGAAAGCAAATTCCTTGAAATCGTCACTGTAGTCAAGTGGGTACATTGTGGAGTGATCATAGAACTCCTGAATGACATCCTCATCTACACCCATTTTGTAGTCATCTGTATTGTAAAGGTGACGAAGAAAAAACATGCAATCAGGTCATCCCCAAGGACCACTGCTGTTTCTAAATTTGCTTGATGATATTCTGTGTTGATTCCACAATTCTGCCACTTGATATAGCTCATTCCTTAGAAAAGGCACAAAGCAAAATTGAAGGCAGTCAACATGAACTGGATCTGAGTCAATAAATAGAAACAAGTCATGCAGATCTTTAAAAAAATTAATCCACCAACCAGGAGCATCCTTAGCTAAACGTGACCAAGAGGCTTCAATTCTCTGATTTGCTGTGGACCTGCCAGTGAGAAAACACCCAAGACCCACATCTTCATCACTGTGGCTTAACCTGATAGATGTATGTACTGCAGCAGCCATGCTGTTCTCAGTTCCGTCATCTGATCCCACTTTTCCCGGTAAACCACCAACTTGTTTCATAGCATCAAGATAAAATTTAGTGATAACTCCAGGGTTGTTATTTGTGGGACCAACCTCAAGCCAAATTAGCCACCTTGAAAATCCATTGATGGCTCCATGCACACAGAATCCATGAGCTTCCAGTTTGTCATAGCAATTGATGTGCCAGACAAAGTTGGGCGCTTTTGCATGGTGTATTCTTCGGGCGAAGTCTCTTCCTTTTTTCTGCCCTCAACTCCCTCTGGATCAAGCTCTCTAAAAAGTTTCATGACTGTTATTCTCTTTACCATATATCCTTTCCTTCTCAGTCTGGCCCATAACCTGCAGTAGCCAATGAAGCAGCCACTACCACCGAACTCTCTCTCTATGATGCGCTTTAGCTCATCAGGAGGTATATTAGGGGGATGTCATGACAAGCCTAAGGTTTGAAGTTGTCTTTTCAGCGTTGACACACTTATCGTTATTCCCTGAAGGTTTTAAAAATTCCAGGATTTCCAAGTTGCTGTATCCCTGTTTAAGGACGTTTGTACTAATTGTTTCTGCGCATCCTTACTGTGCACGCAAATTCACACACCACATTGTGCATGAGAGTGTGCATTAAGTAAGAACAGTAATAATATAAACAATGATTGGGCAGATGGCCATTGTTATAGCTTCACCTGTATTTCACGATGATAATACAGTATTGTGCAAAAGTAATGCAAGCGAAATGCGTGCATTTCATTCTTTGCTCCTGTGATTTTTTGATGAAAGTTCGCTCGAATGTTCCATTGAAATTTCGCGGCCTGTAAAGCGATAATTTGCCATAACAAGGGACAATATTTCTTTGAATTTTTGATAAGTTAACGAAAATTTTGCAAGACACTTAACTGCAGTTCGCCAGCGTTTATGCAATTTTCGCAACTTTTCACAACTAATCGATATACTGACAAAAAACTGTCATGTAACTTACACAAGATAAATTTGGATTCATGTATTTGTTTGTTAATTCATGCCAGAGAACACAGTATGCAGTCATCAACTGCCGTATAAAAGCAAGGCTGTCATAAGTAGCCGGCAGCCGGCGAATATCGCCAGCTACTCTTACGAAAATTGCCAACTACTTCACTAACGAAATGACACCGAAAGTTTAGATACCGAACAAGTCTGACCACATATTCATTTCCTTGGTAGAAATGTGAAAAGTAAAGCACCTTATTTCCGAATTGCAGGCTTTTCTTCCACGAAAAGTAATGACAAAGTAGGTTTCTCAATATATCATAGAGTCCATGCTGCATACCAAGTAGTTACCAGGACTCCTCTCTGCTGTCACATAACATTTCAGTGTGACATTGCATGTGACTGAAAAGCCACATGCATTTATAATATGGCTGCAAAGCGAAGACAAGGTTTGCTGGATAATTTTATCACCATTCTTTCTAAGACACCCAAAGGTAAGTGTTTAACATTTTAAAACTTCAACCACAAGGTTTGCTAAAAGTGTGGTTTTTTGGGCACAAGACAACTTGATACGATTAATTAGCATTTCAAGAGAGTCATTGAACCAGAATGACCTTTGCCCAGTAGCACTGCAGGAAAAAACAGAAGTCGTTGTTTGCTGCAAGTTAGTAGAACTACTCTGGGTTTAGTTGAAGTTTAACTGCAGAATATCCGGGCACTTCACAGCTATTAGTAATTTCCGGTTTCTTGTCAAAACAGGAACATTCCATTAGTTTTCTTTCATGAAAATGCTGGAAATGGCATTTGTGAGACTCTAGATTTCAAAAATCTCTCAGGGACAAGGGGTGGGGGGTGCCTACTATTTTTTATCAGCCATCTACTTCAAAACTTACTGAGAATAAATATATAAAACAACTGACTAATCATTAATAGTTCTTTAAAAACGTTTAAAACAGATCTAAAAAGTAAAATTGTCTCTAAATTGTCTTTAAACAGGTGTGAGCGGCAAGAACAAAAGACTGTTTCTGGAATCCTTGCACTCTTTCTTAGACAAAAACTCCGTAAATGAAAGAGCACCCTTCCCAAGGGTTTACACGTCACTGGTTGCCTCCCTAGGGGGCAACGAACAATAACGTCCCAGCCTGTTAAAATTCTGTGAATAGTGCAAAATCATCAATCTGAAGACCGCAAAAGGCGGTCGAAAATTTAGAGACAATTTTACTTTTTAGATCTGTTTTAAACGTTTTTAAAGAACTACAGTATTGTGCAAAAGTAACGCAAGCAAAATGCATGAATTTCGTTCTTTGTTCACGCAAACTTTCCAGGAAAGTGCGCACGAAAGTTCGAGTGACAATTCGAGGCCTTTTGAGCGAAATTTCCCTTGAACAAAGAACGCTATTTCGTCGAATTTTCGGTACAAAACAAAATTTCACGATGACAGGCATCGTTTCACTAAATTGGTGCACGAAATTTCGCATTAGAAAGACACAACAATTCTTCATATGATCTATTCGATCTACCCGTCATATAACGTTCACGAAATATACAAAAGGTTTTCAACGCACTCCCTAACTGGAGTTCAGTCACGAACACAAAGAATGAGAATTACAAGTAAAACTTACCGCGAGTGAAGACTTTGAATGTAGTTTCATTCCAGAAGAGACAAAATATAAGCCCATTTTGATCAGTGTAGCTGTCAGATATTAACTTTGTAGAAAATTATCCCTGTTTTTCTCTCAAACCAGGAACTTCCCCGGGGCACTTCAAATCAGTGCACATGTTTTTGTCCGAGAGAGTATCAGAAATGGTTCTTTCGTTTTCACAGATTAACTTCACTACTCCGATATTTCGATAAACACGAGTTTGTTTAACGCACTGAAAGCTTCAATAACCATGATTTCTTGGCTGTCAAACGCTCGTGTAAATTGCGTACGTTGTTTTTTGGTCCCAGCCCCATGCATTTGGCTGACTTTCAAATGCACATTACGTCATTTACGCTGGAAGTAGCGTGAGAAAGACAAATCTTCACAAACCCCTCCCCCAGTTCGCAGTTTTTCTCGTGAGTTCGAAGTCGCCTGATCTGAAGAAACCTGAATTCTGTGTTTAATATAGGAAGCTGGGAAAGGATTTTGTAAAGATTTGTCTAGTCAAAAAAGCATGTGTGGAAGAGGGAGGGGAGCTTGAGCGCACGCTAGATGACGCAATTAGCACTGGTTCAACGGTACAATCATGTTGCGAAAAGCGATCTCAGAAAAAACTGTGCTAAAGATGCTAAAATTCTCCGACTGTCATGTAAGTATTCGAAAACAAATTCGGCCAAGTTATAGAAAAATATTTTGACTTCGTTTTGTGTGTTTGATTTCGTGGAAGCAAAGAAATTTAGAGATTCGAGCCAATATTCAGATTGCGTTCAAAATGTTTGGGCAAAGAGTTGCCTCCCTTGTCAATGTTATATGTAAACCAAAAAACATTTTTGCTGTGCGCGAAATGGCCTAAGTACGAATTTAGCACTACAGTGTTACGCTTAGTGTTATGCAGGACTTGTAGTCAACAGTTTTCCCTGTAAGGTCGCGCAAGAAATAAGAACAGGAGACAAAGGTAAACTATTCGTTCTTTTCATTCCTTCATTTACTCTATTTACATTGTATGTTTAACAGGTCATTTTTCTAAAATGTCTACTGTCGCAGCATCTTTTGAAACATAACGATACGATAATAACAAGTATATT